CCCCAAAACCCCAAAACCCCAAAACCCCAAAACCCCAAAACCCCATCAACTACTTTTTCTGCTGAAATCAACGGTGATAATTTTATTATAGAACTCTACTGTTCTTTAATTTCACTCTTGACTTCTGTTTGATGGAGTTTGTGCCTGACTGCTTCGTTTCTATAGAGTAAGTAATAAAGGGAACTACCTTTTGTACATCCTTCTCTCAAGTTCGCTCATGCCATCTCCTAAGGAGGATTTATATCCAGGGTTTTCAGCATTCATATTCATTTCTTTTGAAGGAATATAGTCACAAATCTCTAGTCTCCCGTTCAGAGTTGAGCCAGGCCTGAAGGATACTAATATCATTATTAATGTAAAAATGATAAGGAAGCCAAACCGTCTCATGCTTCTGAGGTTTGCCTGCATTCAGAACTCTCCAGAAATTGTCCTATCCGCTCTATTGTGAAAAAGCACTCCAAATAGAGAAGTAGCTAAAATTGTTAACAATGACTTGTCTCTTCTGAGACGAGAAATGTAGTATTCCTGATTGCTCATAAAGTTATTAAAGATCTGTTCGACCTCTTCATTGGAGACACCCTTCTCTGGAACAATTTTATAAATCGATTTCACCTTCCGTAAATGCTCCTTCTTATATTGGATCCGGAATGAACCTCTTTGGCCTGTATTTAGAATATTAGAATACCTGGCTTCGCTGGCTTTACTAATTCAGGTCTCATAAATGCCATCTGTTTGATTTTGGGATTCTCATACATCATGTCAATATTTTGGAGACACTTTTTAAACATAATACAAGTTGCATGAGCAGTAACCCAGCATTCCAACCATCGATATCAAATAGAGGAATCTATAGCAATGAAGAGTGGTTAAAGAGAGATTCAAAATATTTGTGTAAGCAGGGTTTAAGCTAATATTTCCGGTTTCTAGGACAATAAATATTTTTAATGAGTAAATTCATAAAAAGATAGTTCAAATAAGCCAAATTGTTGCTAACCTTGTACATCCAATTGCTGTGGTGATGTCTATATTTATGTTAAACATTCTTTACACTTACCTAATCTGACAATCCTAGCTTTTGGCTTGACATAGGTTCCAATCCCTCGCATAACACCTCTTAGGAGGCCTAAATTTTGGGTATTCAAACTTCTGATAACTCTAAAATTGGTCGATGTTCTTTTGAAGTTAAACATCTTTATATATTATTTAATAAAGAAAGCGGGGTTTTGGGGTTTTGGGGTTTTGGGG